TCCCTCCCTCTTTCTATGAGCATTCTCTCTCTTTCAAAAGAGAAACAGGAATTATCTAATATTAAGTTTTAGTTGTAGACTCTTCTCTCCTGAAACCTTAATAAAAGGTTTTTAAACACAAATTACCTGTGATTTTTAAAAAATATATCTTTATTGATTTCAGAGAGAAAGGGGGAGGGAGAGATAGAAACATCAATGATGAGAGTAAATTGTTGATCAGCTGCCTCCTGGATGACCTACTGGGGGTTGAGCCCACAACCTGGGCATGTGCCCTGACCAGGAATCAAATTGTGACCTCCTGGCTCATAGGTCAGCACTCAACCATTGAGCCATACCGGCTGGGCTATGATTTTTATTCTGGGTTTTGTTTTGGTTTTCTGTTTTGTTTGTGTAGGTACAACTGAAGCATAACGTTGCTGGTGTTAATGGGGTATGGAAAAGGGAAAGAATGTAAAGAGAGGTGAAGCTACTCTTAGGCTAAATTAATACTCAGTGGAATTCAGGGCTCAGAGGCACTCTCCAAAATCCCTGACTTGGAAGCTCAAGGCGAACACAGGAGATGCCGAGGAAGGTGAGCCCAGCCTACCTCTGGTTGTTACGTGTGTCACAGCACTCTCCACCCTGGGGTAAAGAGTCTGATTCTGGTTGGTGTTTTGTATGGGAGATGCATCCTACCTCCCAAGGACAAAGGCCTGGTGTCCTGGCTTCTAATTGTTTACTGGTTCTTCAACCTTCCAAAGTAGGTTTGATGAATATATTCCAACTTTCTGATTTCCAACATCCAACTCTTTGGACAAGCCTCTTCCTTAGATTGAATCCCTTGATTTCTTCAACTACTCAAAGGAGACTATTCTAAGTATCCAGGCCAATGGAGTCTCACTTCTTATAGTCCACCAGTTATAAAAAGAGCATGCAACATTTCCACGTTTTATACTTCTGTCATGTTCTTTAATCTCAACAATAAGCACATTCTATAAAAGAATGTGCCTGCTTGTGTTATAATCACATCGTGGCCAGATAAACTGCCAGTTAAGGTTTAACTGATATAACAAATATTGCCGAAACCGGTTTGGCTCAGTGGATAGAGCGTCGGCCTGCGGACTGAAAGGTCCCGGGTTTGATTCCAGTCAAGGGCGTGTACCTGGGTTGCGGGCACATCTTCAGTGGGAGATGTGCAGGAGGCAGCTGGTCGATGTTTCTCTCTCATCGATGTTTCTAACTCTCTCTCTCCCTTCCTCTCTGTAAAAAATCAATAAAAAAAATATATAAAAATATTGATTATATGTAGAAACTGTCAAATAGGGAAGAATGATGCTGAACCAGAAGCAAGAAGAAATTAGTTGTGAAATTTAGTCACGTCACCAATCTGTGGCCCAATTTTCTTACCAATGAAGTTGGCCAGAGCAGGCATTTTCTTATGGCCCTCCTGGTTCTCAAGTTCTGTGGGTCTGCGCAGTTCTTCTTGAACTGAGATAATTTTCAAGGACTCAATCTAGAAAGGAACAGTGACTGCTTATATTGTCCTTGAAACTCTGGCAGATAGCATGTGATCAACTGCTAAGACTAGTTCTGCACCCAGACACGACAGAAAATAGGTTTACGAGCTTCATTACGCTGAAGCCAGTTTTCCTGCCAGCTGATTCTCTTGTTGAGGGTTTTTTCTCATCTTTTGTGAAACTGGTAGCATTGCTTTCCCGTTCAATAAAATAGTTTCCAAGATCACTTTGGAGACTTGGGGTCAAATCAACCCAAAGGGCAATTACAACCACTTCCCTGGGCACATTTTTGGTTTGTCTAAAAAAAAAAAAAAGATTAGATCTCTGAAGTCCCTAAAGACAGACTAAAATGTGTAAACTTCAGGCCATAACTCCAGTTAAATGGGAAGAATACATTTCTAAGAATAAGAACTATCTGCAGATGAAATTATCATTTAGGAAAATAATTCATGTCATCAAAACCTGAAGTTTTTATGGTTAACTGATAAAAGTGAACTCTGAGGTTTTTTTTTAAACCCAAGAGTCTATGAAATAATTTCTAAATAGTTATGAATTTTAGGAAGTACAATTGACAAAATTTAGTTACTATAAACATATTAATTTTAGTTCAGTATTTATAGTTGTGCTTTTTATATACTGATTTTATACTTTCTTAGCATGTTATGACTTCTTATATATTTCAATATTTTAATATCTAATGAGTTTTAAAATCATTTCATAGACCTTAATGTCTAATATTTAAATATAGAGGCTTATAGTTATATCTTTGTTTTGATACCATAACTGTATTTTATTGCATGTCAAGTGCCTATTTGGGAGTACCACCTTAATTACATTATTCCCAATAAGGGAAAATAATTTCTGCAAAATAAAATATTCTAGTCCTGAATTTCTAAAATACTTGAGTAAAGATCATTCCCTTTCCTGTTCTTCCTTCTTGAATAAACAAATAAAATCAATGAAATAAACAAAAACAGAAGTGATTTGAGTAAAACAAACATTAAAAAGAATTTAATCATGAGATACATTGTGGTATATATGTATGTTTGAATGTGCATAGAAAAACATATCTGGAAGGATACATATCAAATTGCTAACAGTTTATCTTGAGGGTGTAGGATTGGAGTAGGGTAAGGGGAGTGCTCTTAAAGTCATATACTTCTGCATTGTTTGAAATTTTACAATAATTCACTACATTTATAATAATCAAAACCATAAAAATAAAAATAGCAACAAAAAGTAAATCACATACACATACACATTAGTTTTAAGAGTTACATTGGAGGTATAAAGAATTAAATCACATGGCACACTTTTCCACTAATACTGGAAGTAAACATAATCAAAGAAATAACCTTAAAGAAGCCACTTTTAGCAATATCCCAACCTAGGGAGGGGCAGGAGTGGGGGGAGGAGGAAGTCATTGGGGGTAAAAGGGGGACATCAGTAATACTTTCAACAATAACGATATTTTTAAAAACCCTTAAGAGCCCTTCAACAGTGACCCTTCAAGGTGAATATTAAAACTAAAAGCCGGGGTTACCTATTACTGGATGATCTACAGGAAAGCATGTCAATCTGAAAACTTCAGATAAAAGAAACAGCTTCACAGAAGTAAGTTGAAATTCTAAAACAATTAACCAAAGGCCAGAAATTGGGAGTAAGAGAATTCTGCCCAGCCCAGACCCAAAACTAAATCATTGAAATTTTGGTAATCTAGGGATATAGGTTAGGGACTTCTACTTTAGGCATTTGCTTATTATTTCCAATTTCTCAATTGGTCTGCTTTCTATTTCAATGATTGTAACCTAAATATACTGCAATTCTAATTGGAGAAAATAAAATTAATCTAGATTCAGTTTAGGCATATTCTTCTAGTTAAAGAACCAGAGAAACTTGAGACTAATGGTTTCCCATTATCCATTATTTTCTCATAACTGTTTCTAGCTACTTAATGAACATATTAGGACATAATACTTTTTTCTCATGTTCTAATTTTTTTTTTATTGAGTCATCAGAGATGACAAATTTTTTATTATGAACTTTTTTCTTCTAACAAAGAGGATTCTTTAGGTTGATGGTTAACTATCTTCATTGAAGTCAGGACATCTGTAACTGGAAGGTTCTACCTTTTGTAAGTTACATAATTAGGAACTTATCTATAAAATTTTGCACTCCTGAAACCGTGTTCCTGACCTTGGTGTCAAAGATTTATGTAGGATTATACTCACTGCATAAGTGAGTATTATGGGAAATTTGACAAAACTTAATCAGAATATCATTAGAAACAGCAGACATAAAGGGTATAAAGTCATAATGGCCATGTCATTTTTAAGTTAAAACAGCTGGAACATTGCTGTTTCTTAGTGAATTACAGTATTTTAATTTTCAAAAGTAGAAAACAAATGATTCATCATAATGTATATAAAGTACTTCACATGATGCCTGGTACACAATAACGACTCAATAAAAACTGTCTCTGTAATAAATGGATTAAAATAATAAAAGTATAAGAACCCCAAATAAAGAGAAGAGCTTTAAAATCGATTTCCTAGAGTATGTAGTTAAGTGGAAAGTCGAAGCTCACAGAGAGCAGTAAGGAATTCTACATTTTCTGGATCTATCTTTTGGGCCCTCTCATAATACTCAGCAGCTTGCCTTTTTTCTCCCTCCAGCTTGTAAACAAACCCTAGGGCACTTAAACTCTGCACATCTGACGCATTGTGACCAAGTCTCTTGGTGGCCAATTTCTTCAGAGCACTTGTCAGTTTGGTACGCAGGGATGACCTGTCTTTGACCTTTAAGGCTTCTAAGTAATGGTGGATGGCAGTATTTTCTGATTTACGATGGAATTCTTGAAAGCGGCCGTAGTGGTAGTGGATCTGATGTTTGTGATCATCAGTTATGTTCTCCAGACGAAGGGCTTTCTGGAAAATGTCTTCAGCATTGCTATACTGGCCTCCCTCCGCATACATGTTGGCCAGGTCTGTGTAGGCAAATGCAAACATAGAGTCTCGTTCCACAGCTGCCTTGAAATGAAATATAGCAGATGTAATCAGCCCGTCAACTTTCAGTTTATCTTTGCCTTTAGGTCTGTTGCGCGTGGCTTTCTTGATTTGGATCATCTGTGCCCTGTAACAAAGTCCCATTTGGTGATGCAGGAAAGAAGACGTTGGTGTCACCTCCAAAGCCTTTTTCAAAAGTTCAAGAGCTTTGTCCCAGGAATTTTTTCTCCTGTAGAATTTGGCCGCATAACGAAGGACATAAGGTTCGGATGATATCTGGTCCAGGATTTCTTCAATATACTTTTCCCCTTCAGCTTCTGCATGTACATCTTGAAGCTTCAGTGCCAGGAAAACCTTAATGTAGGTGTTATCTGGGTTCAGGGTTACAGCCTTCCTCAGAGGGCCCAGAGAGAAACTTTTTACAGACCCTTCTCTGTCAGAATCATCCAGCCGATACACTGTAATGGCATAACCAATGTTAAATTCCGGATTGTCTGGTTCCACTTCCAGAGCCTTCTCAAAAGCTGCTTTAGCCTTTTGGTAATACTTCCCTCCAAATTTCAGAAGTGCCCACCCTTTCTCACAGTCAATCTCAGGACACTCCAATTTGTAGTTAAAAGGACTGGACATTTTCTTGCAGACGTTCCCTACCTTGTCTGTATACTCCTGAGCTTCCTTAAGCTGGCCCATGTGATAATACACCCAGGCATAATTTCCCCAAGTGACCAGACTTCGTACTTCTTCTTTGTCTGAGTGTTCCCGCTGGATTATTTGTTCTGCTTGCTCCAAGCACTCTAGGGCATCCTTATTTTGGCCTTTCAGGTGTTTCACATAGGCCAACAAGTTATAAAGAGTGAGCCTGGATTTTGTCGTAAGAAATTCAAGCTGTTGCCCAATTGTATCTTCCACATCAAACAGATCAATGTCCTCCTTAAGTAAATTCCAGGTAAAGTGACATTCTAACTCCAACAGAATGGTCTTCAAGGAGTCCTTAGGAAGCTCACTGTCAAAAGATAAAACTCTTCTTAATTTTTGAACAAAGGAAACAATTTTTAAACCATAGTACTATTGTTTTCTTAATAACCAATTTCATCTTTTATTTGCTCTTACAGTTAAATCATAGGCTACTATAACTTTATACTAGATTCCTATGTGTACAGTTATGTCCCAAAAGTATTTCATTAAATTCTCATTATTTATTGCAAAATTCTGGAGATGATAGTGTTTTCTATGTTACAGAGTATCTATTTCCTTTTGGCAGTCACTATCCCACAAGAACCACCTATTTTTAGAGAGGAGAATTTAAATGTTTTATTTACTAGCCTTGAAAATTAAGAACAATAAATATAGTCAATAATTAATATAAAATTTTCATCTTTATATTATTAATGAAGGAAGAGAAAAAAGTGGGTGAGAAATAAGAAATACATTGAAGGAGACAGAGGAACCACACAAATATATCATTTTTCAGAGAAAGGAAGGAAGGTGTGGAGGGAGGGAGGAAGGAAAGCTTACAGAGAGACAGAAACAGGCACACTAAAAGATGGGGGGAAGCATAAGTTTCAGAGACATAAAAAGAAATATAAAAAAAGATTACTTAGGGTTTCTCTCAAAGAGGGAAATGCTCTCATTATGGAATGAACAGTGTACAGCGTGTCTGAGTGTATATTTCCTTTTCTGCCGCACACAGGACCCCCCTTGTATGCACAGGGTAAATATGTATTTGTGTAAGTGTTTATGGGAACTATAGTAGTTTTCCATCAATGAACATTTATTGATCACATCATATGCGTGAGGCAGTATTCTAGTTGTGGTGGATATAGCAGTGAACTAGCTAGAAAGAGGCCCTTTCTAATCACGATAACTCCATTCTGGAAAAGGAAGGAACAAAATGTGTTGACAGAAAATAAGCACGCATACAAATCAGTGGACAACATAATTCCAGAGTGCAATCAGTGTTAAGAAGAAGAAAATCAGAGTAATGGGATTAAGTGCTGCTGCTGGTGGGGGGATACTTTAGTTATGATTGTTAAGGAATAGCCCTTGTAAAAAGCAGCAACTGAAGTATGAGCCCAACAATGAAAAGGAGGCTGTCATAAAGGATCTGAGGGCAGAATGGTCTAAGCCAGTGCTTCTCAACCAGGGTGATTTTAACTCCCAGGGGACCTTTGGTCATGTGTGGAGACAATTTCGTTTGTCACCACAGAAGGAATGGTCAGCCCCAAAACCAAGAATGATCGAATTCAAAATGTCAACAATGATGAGGCGAGAAACCTTGGTTTGGGCTGAGGTACCAGCAAGCACAAAGGCCTTGATGTGGGAACAAATTGGCAGCGTTCAGGGGACAGAAGGAAGTGTGGCTGAAGCATAAATGAAAAGGAGATGAGAGGTAGTAGGCAGGGACAGCTGACTTAAATTGTAATCTAATTGCAGAAACCACTGGAGAAAAATCTTTAAGTA